ATGGATAATTAATAAATTAGCCTTAATTATATCATTAATGGAATTTTGATTAAATGACATTGACAACACTTACTAAATTCTCTCCCACTCTATGTTCAATGTTTATCTTGAAAAATTTTCCCATTATATATATAAATAACCTATTCTGACTTCACATATTGTGATCCAAAAGCTTTGTCTATAACATACATAAATTCATCATATATCCTTACAAATATACATCACTATGGCTGAAATAATAGCCAGAAACTTGTTAGTAATTTTCATATTATTATATCTAGGGTTTTCAAAATCAGTTGATTCTTGTTTTTTTACTAAACATCATACTGTTTGGATCAATAACAATGTTCCAGATCCTCAAAACCTTGTATATCATTGTTATTCAGGAGACGATGATCTCGGGTTCCATAAAGACAGCTGGAATTGGTCATTTTGTGATCAATTTTTCGAGAGAACGAAATTCATTTGCCATTTTTGGTGGGGGCAAAGGAATTTGGAGTTCGAGGTTTATAATACTCATTGGTGGAAAGAGTCTTGTGCACCAAATGGTGATTGTATATGGTTTGTGAGACGAGAAGGGTTTTTTCTGCGACATACGTTCCCGGGAAATCAGACTTATGACGTTAAGAAATTCGATTGGGCATGAGAAATGGATGCATGCGTTGCTAGCCGAAATTCATAAAGCATTTCAACTACATATATACATGAATTTTGGATTTTTTGTGTAACGTTTATGGAATAAACATGTTACTATTGGTGTTGTATGATGTGAATCTTTACTTTATTTGAGTGTTATATTCAAATATTGAAAATATCATCATAATCTTCACATTATTGTTGGATCTGTGTCTCAAAAAAATTTGAATTGAAATAATTGTTTGATATGATATAGAAAAACATTGATCTGATATATTGAATATAAAATTAATTTATAATATAATATAAAATTTTAAAATAATTATTTAATTTGATATTTAGAAAAATGTTAATAGTAAAATTTTGAATAGAAACATATATAAAAGCAATCCGAGTTAAAAGAGATCGAACGTCTCGCGGCACTCCAAAAATATCAAAATGTAACCTCTATGGTGTTTTATACAGAAATTTGTATATTCCTAATCTCTCGACGGCTTGATGAAACTGATCGGAGAATAGCCAAGGATTCTCTAAGACACTCCAGAAAATTTCTAGGTAATATGTTGTATATGCGGAAATAGGACTTAACGAAAAATTTGCCTATGAAAATGAAAAAGAAAGACTTCTAAAATGTTATTGTATTAAAACTGAAAATGAAAGGATCGTAAAATATATTCGGAATTGAAAGAAAGTTGGAACAAAAGTGAATAAACTTGCAAAAAAATAAATTGCAAGTAAGGTAAAATACTAAGAAATAAAAATAAAAGGATAAAGATAAACTGAAAATATTGTGTTGGTTGTAGAGCCGCTCTCCATCAATCTTCTCTTTTTTCATAGTCTCGCTTGAATTTGAAACTCCACCTCATTAACCATGCGTAACTTACTTCATGAAAGCATTATAACTCACCTCCTTCTAATGACCAACCCCTTGATTATCATGATAACTCCAATTTTAATTGTTCGATATTAACTCCACTTAAGTAACCTTCAAGTTGCTTTAAGGATCAAACTTCTCCCTGATGGCCATTATGATTTCTATGGTCATTACTTCTTGCTGCTAGTTTTTCGCAATGTGTAGATTTTTTTCGCAGGGAATTGAGGTGAGGCTTCCACTAGACCAGATTTTGGACTACTTTCCTCTTTTTGGGTCTTTGTTGATTTGTGCATCTTTTCCTCAATTTGGGTTTTTCATCACTATTTATTGGGTCTTGTTCAACTTGAATTATTTTTTCAAAACATTGTCTTTTAATTTTTTGCAAAGTCTTGAGCTTTCTTAAATAATTTCAAATTCGGGAAAAAAACTCTGTATCTGTATTCCCCTTTTTTTTTCTCTCTGTCGATTTTCAGTATATGAAACAATACATATATCAAGCCAAGACTTCAAGACCAAGATTCAAATCATCCAATATCTTCATTAACTAAAATACTTATCTCCTACTTAAAATAAACACTATCCAAAAATATAAAATAAATTACCAAAAGTAAAAGATAAAATCTATGTATATATATAGGCCAAATATAAAAAGATACTCCATATGAATATACCCCCTCAAGTTGGCGTGTGAAGATCACAAATTCCCAACTTGCGCAATAGAATCTCGAACTGAGTTGAACCAAGTGCCTTGGTGAACAGATCACCAATTGATTACCACTACGCAGAAATCGAGTCACAATGAGTCCACAGAGAAGCGCATCCCGCACAAAATGACAATCAATTTTGATGTACTTAGTGCGCTCATGGAACACAAGATTCGCAGCAATATACAAGGCCGATTGGCTATCAGAATGAAGACACACCGGATGTCTGTGATCTACACCAAAATCGCGAAGCAAGCTTCGAAACCACGTCAATTCGCAAGTAGTAACCGCCATAGCATGATACTCTGCCTCAGCCAAAGAATGAGATACAACAGCCTGTTTCTTTGTCTTTCAAGAAATAGGAGAAGATCCCAAGAGAATAAAATATCCAAAAAGAGAGCGTCGAGTCATTGGACAGCTCTCCCAATCAGAATCACAATCACAATATGCTTGTAAACACAAATCACAAGCAGAACGGAGCATAATACCTCGTCCAGGGCATCCTTTCAAATAGCGTACTACACCCAATGCAGCATCCCAATGAATCTCCAAGAGTGCCTGCATAAATTGAGCTAAAATATGCACACAATAAGAGAGCCCAGGACGAGTAATAGTCAAATAAATTAGACGACCAACCAATCTTCGGAATGCTCCAGCATCACGCAGAGGAGCACTTGTTGCAATAACTAACCGATGATTCTGTTCTATAGGAAACTTGGAAGGGCGTTCCCCCAACAGACCAGTCTCTCCAATAATGTCGAATGTATACTTACGTTGCACAAATGCATGCCCGTCTTATTGCGAGCAACCTCAATCCCCAAAAAATAATTCAGATCACCTAAGTCTTTCATGTTAAAGCATCGACTCAGATAGTTCTTGAAATGAACTAAGGCGCTCCAATTATTTCCACATACAACCAAATCACCAACATAAATTGAAACCCAAAGCTGAACATTTGGTCTTGTATAAGTAAAAATAGAAAGATCTGCGTATGATTGAACGAAGCCATAGCGACGCAATGCATTACTCAATTTCCCAAAATAGCAGCGAGGCGCTTGATGCAAGCCATACAAGGATTTACGCAAGCGACATACCTGATCAGGATGGGAAGATACAAAGCCAGGCGGGAGCCGCATGTATACTTCTTCCTTCAAATCTCTATGAAAAAAAGCATTATGCACATCCATTTGGTGTACATACCAACCGAGACCCACAACCACAGACAACGTAACCCGCACAGTCACCATCTTTGCAACGGGCGCAAATGTTTCATGATAATCAATACCGTCACGCTGATTGTTGCCCAAAATTACCAACCGAGCTTTATGTCATTCGAACGTCCCATCAGACTTATATATGATCTTATAGACCCACTTACAACCAATCACTCTTTTTCCAGGAGGCAAGTGATCAATGGTCCAAGTCTAATTGCGTTCTAAAGCTTGTATCTCCGTATACATCGCTTCACGCCACACGGGCTTAGTCACCGCATCACGATAATTTTGGGGTTCAGATTCACTCCCAAGAGCTACTAGAAAAGAGCGATGCTGCCCAGAAAAATTTGCATATCCCAAGAACTGAGATAAAGAATAAGGTTTATTTGCGTCATTTTTAGATCGCACCTCAACCGATACATTGCCAATAAGGAAATCCTTCGGTCTACTTGAAGGATGTTTAGTGTGCAGACCCCGTCCGAGAATCTCCTCTTGCTGCGGATTGTGCACTGGCTGACCAATCTCCTTATTTGGAGGGTTACCCCCCTGGAGCTAGGCATCGAATCTTCAGAAGAAAAAGTTGACGGAACACTTCCACTTACTAAATCACTAAGAACTGAAACTGGTTCGTTGGAATTCATCATAACTGGTTGGAACATCTCTCCAGTGGTTGTTGCTAGAATCAACTCAGGGCTTAAGTCATCAATAACAGTTTCCTCATGTATTCCCGATATTTCATTAGGTTGCACAACAAAAGAAACAACATGATTCTCACTTGTTCGACTATCCGAAGTCACCTGCGAAAAAGGAAAGCTTTGCTCTAAAAAAATGACATCACGCAACATAAAATACTCATGAGTCGCCAAATCGTATAATTTTCATCATTTCTTGCCAAATGGGTAGCCAACGAACACGCACCGTCTACTCCGACTCGCAAATTTATCGTGACTTCGATTCAAATCCTTAGCAAAACATAAGCAACCAAAGACTCTCAGATGAGCATAATCAGGAACTCTTCTAAACAAACATTCAAATGGTGTTTTACCTCCATGAACCTTACTTGGAGTTCGATTAATTAGATATCCGGCTGTCAAAATACAATCACCCCAAAAATCAATCAAAAGATTAGATTGAAATTGAACTGCACAAGCTACATTGAGTATATGACGATGTTTACGCTATACCCTGTGTAATACCCCGATTTTGGAGTGTATAAAATAATATTATTATAGCAAAGAAATTTTTTTGTAATATTTTGGGATAAAAAAATTAATATTCTGGAATAAATTTTATTCCTATTTTATATATTGATTATGATTGAAAAGACTGTTAAACGGATAAATATCGATAAATATAAATATAAAATATAAAATATATAATAATATAATAATAATAATAAAGGTAATGATGATGAAGATAATATTTATAATAATAATAATAATAACAATGATAAGGATGGATGATGACGAAGATATAATAATAATAATAATAATAATAATAATAATAATAATAATGTTAATAATAATAATATAATTATATATATAATAAACCAAACCCACCTGTGAAGGAAGGCCGAAGCAGAAGAACGCGAAGGAGAAAGAAGAGAAAGAAGAAAATAAGAAAGAAAAAGATTTAGCCGTCCGATTTCGATTTCGACTTCGGTATTGTATTATTTGTTATACGTAGAATTTAATTATGGATTTTAATATGAATTTTGATATTGGGAATATTAAATTAGAAATTCTTAAAAAATTCATAACCGGCTATTTGGCTATTTAATCGACTAAGTTCTTTAGCTAATAGCCTATTCGTAGTCCTAATATTATATTCTGAGAATTTCGTATCGATCCGAACCGAATCGAAAACGGCAGTGTACTGCACCTGCCTGTTTATTCATATCTTTAAGTATTTTTATTTAATAATCGAGCGATATAAATATTATGAGGTATAAGAGTTTTATAGCCGTAGTCTACTAAATATAAAAGTTTGAAACCCAACGAGCTAACTATAGAAATTAGCTTTTGAATAAGCAGGTAGTTCATATGTATAAGCATATAGCTCAGCTGATTTAAGTAAATAATGGGGCAGGTGTACGTTGGAAGAGATTTGGGTGAAATTGCGAAAGCTAGGAAGTGTCGATAAGAGGTAAGCAGTAGGGAATTAAATCGAATTTAAGAAATTAGGTATGCATGTTGCATGAGATTCTGATTAATATGTTAACATGATATTATGTGAATCATTTTGTCAGTGCATGTATATATTTATATATATGTGTGCTTTTGCATGTGAGAGACTTCACGGTTTATGATATTTGATATACGTATTTGATTGCATTGGTGAATTTATGAAAAGGAGGATAGGTGAGCTGTCTCACCAGCCCTTTTCGGTAAATTCACTTATTTGGCATGTTGCACACATATTGCACGGTTTATCGGATATATTTTATGGATCTATCGTTTAGTCACCGTGTGCGGTAGTGCTAGGCGAGGGCATCATCTGGGGTTAGGATATTCGACCCCGATGTATCGTAACACTTTGACGATAGTGGACGATAGTAGTCGGACAACTGGGTGACTTAGTCGCACGGTCATTCAGGGATTAGACCCATTGTAGTTAAGACGTATTTGGTCTAATCATTCGTGTTAGGTGTTGTTCCACTAATTGGACTGATCACTGGTGAGGTTTACCGGTAGTTTAGGATCATATGCCAAACTCCAAACGTGATCCCGTTAGGGCGCGCGAGGAGGAGTAGAGTTTCCGGGTTTCCCTTGGGTGATTCCAGGTTGCACGGATTCTACTACATTACACGGGATAGGGCTACTCAGTGGGGGTCCTATCTTCGCTATCACAGACTATGGGGCGTCTTGTGGTTAATGGCGACAACGTTCAGCTATCCATGTATTGATTGTGGGAGACGTATGGTGGGTATATGGAAGTGACCGGATGACCGTTATATTATTATGGGTTTATCAGGTCCTTCCTTGAGCCGAGGATTTTCCGGCTATTTATTGATGATGATCTAGTGAGCTTGTTATTACGGGGCCAAGGGTATTCCGGTTGCTCACTTAGACAGATATAGTAAGCCTATGATTATGGAGCCGAGGTTATTCCGGCTGCTCACTTTGGCGGATATATGTGGGTGTGCATTGTTGTCGATTTTGATATCTGTATTGCCACTACTGGCATGACATGACACGTATTTTATGATTAACAGGAATTAAACTTTATTTTAAAAATGTATGAAATGACATATTTCACGTTAGTTCTTAAAATAGATTTAATTCTAGACTGCTTTTAAGAAAATATTTGTTTCAGGTATGCATGGCACATCCGAGACAGGGGACGTCTTGGGATATAGAAAGACGGGCTGAGTGAGTAAACCGTATATTGTATTATATGTAAATTTTTAACCGGAATAACCTCTTGTTAAGGGGTGTGTTTTGTAAATATTTATAAATCAGATTCTTTTATATAATAATGTGCTTTTATGATAATTTTAGCCTTAACACTGTATTGTGGGGTCCGAAGTAGGAGGTGACGACCTCATGATGTAGTGTGGCGGTAGCATTTCCAGTCTGAGCCAACTAGGGGTGTTACACCCTGCCATTCTGTTGAGGTGTATTTACGCATGAGGTTTGATGAATGATTCCATTCTCAGCAAAAAAAATGTTTCAAACAGACAAATTCAGTACCGTTATCTGACCTCACAATTCGCACGTCTTTAGAAAATTGCCGCTTCACCATAACTATAAAATTCTTCAAAATACGGCTCACTTCAGATTTATTTGCCATTAAAAATACCAAACACATCGTGAAAAATCATCAACGACTATCAAGAAATAAGAACAACCAGTAGAGGATTTAGTTCTATACAGACCCCAGACATCACAATGAATTAACTCAAAAATCTAAGAGGCATTATTATCACTGTCGGGAAAAGTTTCCCTTGTCTGTTTGTCTTGCATATACACATCACAAATATCATTTGATTTATCAAAACTACCAACACTAGGCAATAAATCTAAAATTTTTGGCGATGGATGGCCAAGACGTTGATGCCAAACTTCAAATGACATTTTACTATCAACCTTGCAAGCTTTTATTTCTGCCCTAGAGTCCAAATAATATAGTCCTTCAATTCTCTTTCCCAAACATCCAATCTCCATCCTCGTATTGGGGTCCTGCATTACCCACGCAGTGTTCGTAAACAACACATCACAATTCTTCTCGTCGACCAATTGTGAAACCGATAATAAGCTATTATTCAAGTCAGGCACATGTAACACTTTATTCAACATCAAATTTTGTCCAAGCATAACTTGTCCTTCATGTTCCACATTTGATTTATCTCAATTCGCCATAGTCACATAACAGTCAACAACATTTTTCAACAAATTCAAGCATTCCATAATTCCAATCATATGTCTACTCATTCCCGAGTCAATAATCCAGGATTGAGAGGATTTACCTGTCAATTTATCCGAGGCAGATGAAGGCTTGTAGTCCTTCAGAAAATTCACAAAGGCCTGCAATTGTTCTTGACTAAGTCCAGATGGAAAAATGTGTTCTCCTCCTTAGACTGTGTTTGCCCGTCCTATCCCAGTGCCGGACATACCTCCACGGCCACAAGCATTCACTGAAGTGCCAAGCCCTCTACCTGCAGATCTACCTCATCGGCGATCTAACCCTGGGTTTCTTTGCCTCTAACGTTTGACATACCAATCTGGGTAGCCGTTAAGTTGAAAGCAATCATTAATCTCATGTCTCATCTTGGAACAATGAGTGCAAAGTAAATTATGGTTCCTTTCCCTATTGTCTGTGCTGAGTCTTCGACCAGTTGCACCAGTCAATTGAGCAACCAAGGCCATTTGTTCTCCACCTCCTTCTCGGATTTTAAAATTGTTCTTCACCCTCTCTTCTTAACAAACCTTGGCATATGCTCGCCCGAAAGATGCAATGGTTCCCACGAGAGAATGTTCGAGTGAACTATTTCGAAAGCCTCATCCAATCCAGCCATAAATTGTTGCAGCTTCTCTTCCTTTCGTTTCTAGTCAAATCTCTTCTCCAAATCACATGTGCATACTCCGCAAGTGTATCCACCACAACTGCATCTTGGAATTTGATCATAATCTGCAAGTTCATCCCATAGCTTTTTCAATTGGCTAAAATAACTCACTACGGGTGTTTCACGTTGTCGAAGTTCCATCAAAGCCGCCTTAATTTGTTGTACACGCACCGTTATTTCATATAAACCGTTCAGACAATTCATCTCATAGCTTCTTTGCCGTCTTCGGCAAGGTCACGGTCGAGCGAAGCGTCGGCTGAATCGTATTCAAGATCCATACGATAAGCATCAAATTCACCGGTTCCCATTCATCCAAGTCTCTGGAATTCTTTCCTTCTGCAGGTTTGGTTATGGTTCCATCGATGAACCCTAACTTCTTCTTGGCCTTAAGAGCGTTTTGGATCGCATGTGCCTATTCATCGAAATTATTCTCTTTCAATTGCACGTGAGTGATTAACAATCCTGGATTGTCATTGTTCGACAGATAATACGCAGGACTCAATTTCTCATTCGTCATATGGCTCTAATACCATAAAGAATTTCAAATTCGGGAAAAAAAACTCTATATTTGTATTCCATTTTTTTTCTCTGTCGATTTTCATTGTATGATACAATACATATATCAAGCCAAGACTTCAAGACCAAGATTCACATAATCCAATATCTTCACTAACTAAAATACTAATCTCCTACTTAAAATAAATACTATCCAAAAATATAAAATAAATTACCAAAGTAAAAGATAATATCTATGTATATATATATATTGGCCGAATATAAAACGATACTACATACGAACATTTCTTTTTGCTTCCTTGGACTATGTATTCATCTTGGGCTAGAACGTCTCCTTGATTTTTTTCGAGATTTTTCTAAAATCTTGCGAATGCTTTGATATATCATGGCAATATGAGATTTGGCCAGAAAATAAATCAGATCATAAACAAACATGAGGCAACCCACCCACAAAATGGGCAATAAATTATATATTATGTATGTAGGTAGATATATATATATGTCTTTGAAAATAAAGTACGCGCAGTATACTTTTGAGAAATGAAGCAAAATATATGTATTGTTATATAATAAATATAATATGATGTATAAGTATATAGGTAAATGTTAAATATATATATGTTTGATTGTGCATGTATGTATGTATGTATGTATTATAATAATCAAAGCATTAAATGAGCACACAAAAAAAGAATTAAAGTGGTAGACTTTGAAAATGATAGTTGTGTAATTTTTGTGTGTTCCAGTTACACATATATATAGATATTCATGTCCAATAAAAAAACATCCACATCTCAACCTACATAACGTTTACGAATTCAATGTGTGCATTACTACAAGTAGTTACGTGTTGTATATGTATATAACACTCCCCTTTGGATGTTTTTGTAAAAAAAATGTGCCTCGCTAAAACCTTACTATGAAAAAACCCTGTGGGAAAATATCATAGTGAAGGAAAAAGAGTACATCATTCTTGTATTAATGCACTCCCCCTGTTTGGGACTTTATTTGATGTTTTTCATCCGATGCATTCCAATTTCTTGTACCAATTTGTTGAATGTTGCAGTCGGTAGCGCCTTTGTGAATAAATCTGCAAAGTTTTCAGACGATCGAATTTGTTGCACTTAATTTCACTACTTTTCTGAAGATCGTGAGTGAAAAAGAACTTCGGAGATATGTGCTTTGTCCGATCGCCTTTAGTATATCCTCCCTTTAATTGAGCTATACAAGCTGCATTATCTTTAAATAATATTGTATGAGGTAATACATCATCAAAAATCAAGCCACAATTTTTTTAAATATGGTAAGTCATAGACCTCAACCAAACGCATTCACGACTGGCTTCGTGAATTGCTAAAACCTCAGCATGGTTTAAAGAAGTATCTGTTATCATCTGTTTAGCATATCTCCAAGAGATTGCGGTTCCGCTACAAGTAAATAAATAGCTAGTTTTAGATTTTTCTTTGTGTGGATCAGACAGATAACTAGCATCAGCATAACCAATTAATTCATTTCGAGATTCACTCAAATAGAATAGACCAAGGTCATGAGTCCCCTGAAGGTAACGAAAAATGTGTTTGATACCATTCCAATGGCGCTTTGTGGGGGATGCACTAAACCTAGCGAGTAGATTTACTGAAAAAGATATATCTGGTCTGGTACAATTTGCAAGGTACATTAATGCGCCAATAGCGCTGAGATATGGTACATCGGGACCAAGTATTTCTTCATTTTCTTCTCTTGGCCTAAATGGATCTTTACTGGGATCAAGAGATCTGACCACCATTTGATTTATCCATATAAAATTTTTTTAATACCTTTTGGATAAATGTTGATTGATGGATAAATATTCCATTATTAACATGATCCACTTGTAATCCCAGACAATATTTTGTCTTTTCAAAATCTTTGATCTCAAATTCTTTTTTAGATATTCAACTGCAATTTGGATATCTTCAGGAGTTCCAATTAAATTGAGATCATCAACATAGATTGCAATAATGACAAAATTTGATTCATTTTTCTTTATAAAAACGCATGGGCATATTGGATCATTATTATAACCTTCTTTTATTAAACATTCACTGAGAGGGTTATACCACATTCGCTCTGATTATTTAAGTCCATACAATGACTTTTTCAATTTGATGAAATATGATTCCCTTGTGTTTAATTTGTATGCTTCAGGCATATTGAATCCCTCAGGAACTTTCATATAGATATCAGTATCCAAGAAGCCATAAAGATATGCAGTAACTACGTCTAAAAGACGCATATCGAGCTTTTCTCGCACTGCTAGGCTCACAAGGTATCTAAATGTTATTCCATCAACAACTGGAGAGTATGTTTCATCAAAATCTACTCCAGGTCTTTGCGAGAATCGCTGAGCTACAAGACGGGCTTTATATCTCACAATTTCATTATGCTCTTTTCTTTTTTGTACAAACACCCATTTGTATCCAACTGGTTTTATACCATCTGGTGTTTGAACAATTAGTCCGAAGACCTCTCTTTTGTATAATGAGTCAAGCGTTGATTGAATCGTATTTTCCCATTTTGGTCAGTCATTTCTTTGTCGACATTCATAAACCAATTTTGGCTCTGGATCCTTGTTTTCTTCCATTATATCAAGTGCTAAATTGTATGCGAAGGCATTGTCAATAATTTCCTCTTTACGGTTCCAACATTTTCTTGAAGTAACATAGTTAATTGAGTTTTCAATAATCTCATCATGTTCTTCAAGATCGTGCTCTTCTGGAGCAATTATTTCAGGGTTGACTTCCTCATTAGATTGAGTTTTATTAATGTCATTCCTGATATTTTCATGATTATCATCATTAATTTCTATTTTCTTTCGAGGATGTTTGTCTTTGGAACCAAGTGGTCTACCATGCTT